GGAAGTAAAAATTCGAATGTAATAATAATGGTGGATAAATCATATGTTATGCAGAGAATACGGGGTAACTTCAACTGAAAACTCCAATTATACACTATATAAAGAGACACTTAGCACACCAAATGCCGCCAAATCTAGTATGGTGATAATTCCAGTCGTTTGCAACATCTTTACATAAAACAAACACAAATACCAACTCACCACCACGGTACTTTGGGCGCATCAAATCTTGACATTTTTTTTTATTTATTCAAACAATATTCTCGAGAATTTTCTTTATGGCATTGTACGTCGAAGGTTTTTCAGCATCTATTCAAAATAATAATCGTCATGGTGAGTTGTACTAGGCCAGCAGTGAGGCGGTCGAATGTCGAGAGACGGGACTGACGTATCTAGACGGAGAAGACTCGAATCGTCCAACTCGTCCGGTTTCTTTCAAGATCCGCCGGAGCGATCCACTAGCACGAATGCGTGATCCGGCCATCAGACACGCGCAATTTTTCGGGATTTCTTCACGACGTAATTACATAAAAAGGAGCCAGTTTCCCCATAGAATATCTTTTGAAAGTACTTTACTTCACGATGTTTGGGAAATTGGTACCTAGATAGGTGCCAATTTCCCTTGCAATGTCTTCCCGGGAGTCGTCTCCCTTCATAGGTGGCCGTGTGTCACGTTTTCGTTAATCCCATCCCATTTATCCTATAATTCCATTCATAGAATCCTTGTAAATCGTATAAGCGATTCTATCAATCATAAAAGGCGAATAATACACGGCAGTCGGTTGACCTTATACTTAATTTTCTGATAGGAAAATAAGATATTACAATATTTTTAAGTATCAGAAATTAGTAGATTCTTGCCCCTGTACCTCGCACTTTTCCGTTAGCAATAGAGTCGTGCCGGTCATCTATCAAACTCCTTTAGGGGGGAAATTTTTCAATCGAAAATAACGTTTGACTCCTGGTCCAAAGCGGATGTTTGTATATAGTTAAACGTGGCCTTCTTCCCCTCATTTTCCCATATCGTGTCTCGTCTTTCACGCATCTAACTGTTTTCTCGAGAGTAAGCAAATGCATACGGACTACGGTGAAAATTTATGGGTGTAGAATTTTTTCAAATTGCTGTCCAATAAATTCAATAAATATAACGAACGTTGGCGAGTCGACAACATTCATTAAAATTTCGCAATTAAGTGACGGAATTAAACAACTGTGTGGCATTCGATCGCATTTAAAGATTAAATACAAAAAAAATATTTTTAATTATAACGAATCTTTGAAAATTTCGTATTTTTCTTAATTATTGCTTAAAATATACACATAAATGCGATACGATTATGGCCATTATCAAAAGTGAGTTTGTCTCTTTTGTTACAACCCATGATTTTAAATAATCTTTTCTTGATTTAAGTGTTGTTTGAATGTTTTAATTACATCTGAAGTCGGAACGAGCTGAAAATTTTCCCGTATTTTATGCATTTTACATTAAAAAATTGTGTAATTCGTATTCCAAGTTTCCTTTTCAAAAAAGGCGTCTCCTTTAATAAATTAAATATATATTTTTCACTTGCAATTTATAAATTGNCTACCGAAGAACCTACTACTACACCTGCTATACCTACCGATGAAACTTCTACTACATCTGTTGCTATACCGACTGATAAACCTACCACAATCCCTACTATTATACCCACCACTAAACCTGGTATGTCACCTACCAGAAAACCAACCACTATTTCTACTGTTATATCCACCACTAAGCCTGCTATGATACCAACCAAAAAACCTGATCATATACCAACCAAAAAACCTGATCATATACCAACCAAAAAACCTGGTCATATACCATTCCCTTAACCTGGTCCTATTGCTGATGTCAAACCTTTTAACGTAATTCGTCCTGTTCCTATACCTGCATCTGTTTCTATACCTGCACCTAAACGCTGACCTGCAGCTGCAAGTGGCTTTAAATGCCGTCCCATACCTGATACCAAATTTCGTCCTGCATCTCGTCCTATTCATAAAACTCTTTCTCGTCCTGTACCTGCGGTTAAGTCTGGTATCATACCAGTCCCTATACGTTTTCCTGGATCGTTTCCTCGACAAGGAAGATAAACAGAGAGAATGTAAGAAAATTATTACAAAAATGTGTCGAAAATTCAAAAAACGAGAATAAATAAAGATCAGTACCATAGATAGATAAATAAACTCTGGATTTATTTGTTGAATTCATTTCTTATTGATATCGAATTGTCTCGTATCATACTTATAGCTTATATATCGAGCTAGAAATAAAAGATGTTTTTCATTTTCGTTTTTGATAAAATACAGTACGAAAACTGTATGTTATATATAGAAAAAAGACATCTAGGTAATAAAAATTATATAGCTTATCACTCAGTTAACTCATATAACTTATCACTCAGTTAACTCATATAACATAACTTATATTATATTTATGGCCTAGATGTCCTAAATTTAGTTGTACGTTATATATAGTGCAAGCGTAGAGGTGGCCACACATGCTGTCCGGTCACTATTCGGATAAAGTGGGTGGTTGTAATTGTACCCATGTAGAGTTCGCATTCTCCTCTATTATTTTTTCTAACTACTATACATGAATTGGCGTATTTAGCCCATAATTTTGCGCTGAATGAAACCAATATCAAAGTACCATTTTCTAAAGGTCCCCCGGCATCCTTCTTACAAAGTTTCATCATTGTTGCCTCAACGGTTTTTTTTCTATCTTAAGATTTTCGATTTCTTCACCAAATGAATTCTTATCACGTTGCAATTATTAAACCAAAAAACATTATCAAATACTAAACGTAAAAATCAGTTCGTGGTGGTTAGAATAACGTATATCAGGTTATCGCCCGATCATTGTTTGTAAAAATAAAAGGCCCAATATATGCAATAAACAATATCACGTGACATTTGTTGGTCTAGTCGAACAGTCATTAAACATACGACGTTCAAACGACCAACAAAACAGTTGAACTTGAATCAAATTTTCATGAAAATTACACAAGTTTTAGGGTCGCAGGATACTAAATTCCGACAAAAAAATTGCGTACAGATTTTGATTAGTTCGATAAATACGTAAATATCTCGAGAACTGTTTGAAGAAATTCAAAATCTGTCCGAACCGAATATAGCCTTTCAGACAGCTCTTACGAATTTCGAACCAGCGGCTCGACCTCTAACCCCTTGTGACATTTTATTATTATTTCAAAATGTATTCTATGCAAATTAAGGAGCTACAGTGACTCACGCCAAATTCTATTCTTTAAGTCGTGTAGATGTTGGGAAGAAGATTTCGAGAAGAGAAATTTGTTCAAAATTTGGCTAACAGTCCCAAATAATTTGAATTCAAAATTTTCGATAATGTGTGCCGGGAAAAGGTCAAACGGGATGATGATAGAATATAGGNAATCAAATTTTCATGAAAATTACACAAGTTTTAGGGTCGCAGGATACTAAATTCCGACAAAAAAATTGCGTACAGATTTTGATTAGTTCGATAAATACGTAAATATCTCGAGAACTGTTTGAAGAAATTCAAAATCTGTCCGAACCGAATATAGCCTTTCAGACAGCTCTTACGAATTTCGAACCAGCGGCTCGACCTCTAACCCCTTGTGACATTTTATTATTACTTCAAAATGTATTCTATACAAATTCTAATTCTAAAGAATAGAATTTGACTCACGCCAAATTCTATTCTTTCAGTCGTGTAGATGTTGGGAAGAAGATTTCGAAAAGAGAAATTTGGTCAAAATTTGGCTAACACCCAAATAATTTGAATTCAAAATTTTCGATAATGTGTGCCGGGTAAAGGTCAAACGGGATGATGATAGAATATAGGCTATTCCAAACAGAAATTATAATCTGTAACATAATTTTGACTATCCAAAAAAGCATTTTTTATCTCTTTTATACGCGCAAGTATTAAAAATGATGCAGAAATTCATCAAATTAACGAAACTTTATTGGAATTAAAATTATATTCGATATATTTATTTGCTAAATTCGAACGAATTTAGGTCATGCACATATTAAATACACGTCTGAGTTTAAAAGTGTGTCAGAGAGACTGCATAATTTACATTTCCAATTATTTATTTCTTCCCTGTTGTTTTATTATATATTTTATTATAAAAACATTATTTATGATTAAACTCGATTAAAATTCCTGAAAGGAAGGCAAAACTATATCATTTGTAAGCATTAATATTTATTGCTTTACATGAAATCACGAACTGGCGAAGCTTGCAGATTCGGAAAGATTCGCATTCTGGAGGATTTGAGGTCGTCACCACGATTTTCTGGAGGCTTTAGAAGCCTCGGAGGAATATTATTACTGCGGCCCCAAATTATTTTTTAATATACGTAAAGCGTGAGAATTTGATAAATCTAACGTTATCCGGGCAATGCTAACTTTATCTGTCTTCACTTCCGGATGAATTTATCTGTTTAACTTGTAATGGAAATATTGCAAATTATAATGCAAAAGAAAACACTAAATTTTCTCGCTTTATCTAAAATTGAGTTATTTATCCATTCAATTTTACATAAAGCCTTAATTTAAACTTACTTAGAATATCTTCATCCTTGAAATAACACACGAAAAATAATACAGTAAAACCTGTGTAAAGCAGAACCTGAATAAAACGGAAACCTGTCTATGTGGAAAAATTTTCGAAACGAATCGCTTTTTCGTGTTAAAAAGAAACCTCTTGTTTCTTCTAATTCTATGTCACGACTTGGTGCATTTATCGACACTTGCCAAGTCGTGACATAGAAAAAGACACGGTTTCGACAAAAAAATAAAAAGAAACCTGTTAAAAACGGAAACTTATATATTTGTAACACGGAAATAAATATTTCACGTCATTAGATATATGACGAATTGCATTGTGACGTAGACAAGTTTGTTCCTCATCCAAATGTCACACAATTAACGATGTTTGTGAGTAAATAAATAGAGTTGTGGATCATGAACAAATGGTGGAATTCAACCACTTACGAAGGGGAAACACGAGAAATGAATAAGTTCACTTTTGTGTTCATCATTATCGGTGAGTTTCATTGTTTTATGTTATTTTATATATTATTACGAAACGGTTCCATTGCTATCGTATAATAATTTATACAGTAGGCCTGCATATATTATGTAAAAGTAGGACAATGTTTGTCAAAGGATGATTAGGCTGAAAACTACAATTTATGGTGGCAAGTTTATTATTAAAATACGAAACCATTTCTTTTGCTTATAAGTGATATTAGTGTAAAATTTACTTCTTTTAATTATTATAAATGGATATTTTTATCTAAGAGGGCAGGAAAGAGTCAAATCGTAGTAAAAGAAGATTAATACAGTATATTGAGTCCATTATTTTCTTAAATATTTCTGTTTACAATAATTGAAATATCTAGTTATTTACAAGGTAATTAATGTATAAATGTATTTCTTTCAGTACTTGCTCTGTCGGGAAGTGGCGAAGGAAACAGAAATGTCCAAGATCGCAGTTCAACTTATAATCTACTAAAGTTAAATAAAAGAAGTGGTAGAATTCTTAATGAAATTTTAGGTCCTATAATTGGTAATCCTACTACTACTAAAAAACCTACTGTTAAACCGACCACTACACCTGTTGCGACGACTAAAGAACCTACCACTATGCCTGCTGTTACACCTACCGAAGAGCCTACCACAACACCTACTGTTACACCTACCGAAGAGCCTACCACCACACCTACTGTTTCACCTACCGATGAGCCTACCACAATACCTACTGTTACACCTACCGAAGAACCTACCACCACACCTACTGTTACACCTACCGAAGAGCCTACCACCACACCTNGAAAACAACTCCCAAATCGCTATACGAATACCACAATGTTGAATAGGGTATAGTTTAGACGTTAGTAGTATATATGTGTATATATATATATATACACTATACCCTATCCAAAAAAATATATATTTATTTTTTTCTGATAAATACAGATCACAAATAATTTTAACATAGACGACGATGACATAGCGGACGATAACATAAAAGAAATTTTAACATATTGTGTGATGATGTATATGTTATTTACAATATTATAATATAATAGTGGACTATAAGAAGCGATAATTACCCTATTATATGTACGATTATATACCTATGTCTTCACAAAGTCTGGCTAGCTCAGTCGGTAGAGCATGAGACTCTTAATTTCAGGATTGTGGGTTCGAGCCCCACGTCGGGCGGTCGTACTTTTTATTTTATGCGTATCCTAACTACCAGAAAAATATTCATTTGTTTATTGGACACTTTGAGCGGTAAGGGGCCTAAAATAAATAAAAACCTATTTTTTACGTATTACGAAAGTACCGAACAATCGAAAGTACTTTTTTAGAAAAATTTACTGCTGGATGATTCTGAAAACACGTTTATTCGTTAAATAGGGTAAATAAGCATGTAAATTTACTAAATTGAAGCTGAAAATAGATAAGAATAATGATTTATGATTGTTTCTATACGTTTGTAGCTGACAGAGTAGGCGGGGCTTTTCTCAGGGAAGTTACCACCCCACAAATCCGACTCGATGCTTATTCGTTAAAGAATAATCAATCAAGATATAAAATACCAATCCGCGCTCAACGGGCGTGTGAACAAGAATTCTATCGTCCAATGAATGGGAAAAGAATTTCCCATAGACTTAACATAGGAAGGAGGAGTTTCGTGGCTAAATTTAGAAAAAGGGGGTGTTAACAAAAATCTTATTTCTAAACAGACCTAGTCTATGTAGATGAAATACCTAAATTCACATAAAAGTGTAACATGGAAAGGAAACACACAGAGAAATTCAAGAAGATTTGCACATGGTGTTCATAGATCTAGAAAAGGCGTATGATAGGGTACCAAGGCAAGAAGTATGGAAATGTACGAGGGAGCAGAGACCTAAGTTAAGAGTAGTGAGGACACTAAAGAAGGGTTCTTCGATAATGTTGGTTTGCATCGGGGATCGGTCCTTAGCCCTTATTTGTTTGACCTGATAATGGACGTGATGGTGTGTGACTTGAAGTGTGAGGCTCCGTGGAGTATGCTGTTTGCGGATGATACTGTGCTGTGTGGAATTGGAGAAAAGCATGTGTGATTGGAGGAAAGTTTTGGAAGAAAAGGGCATGAAGATTAGCAGAACTAAAACAGCTTATATGACTCTGAATGGTAGAGTTGAGTGTAATATTAAAATCCAAAATGTGCGTTCCTTTTGTTCCGAGTTTTAAATAACTTGGAACATTTGTCGAGATGGGAGGAGAATTGAACTCGGAGGTGCAACATAGAATTCAATGTGGATGGATGAACTGGAAAAAGCTGAGCGGTATGACGTGCGACAAGAAAGTTAGCTGCAATCTGAAAGGAAAACTGTATAAATCAGTTGTTAGACCCGCAATGTTATGTGGAGCTGAGACGTGGGCAATAACAAGAGTCCAAGAAAGAAAGATGGAGGTGGCGGAGATGAGAATGTTGAGATGGATGTGTGGAGTGTCAAGGAAGGATAGAATAAGGAATGATTTTATTACAGATTCCACGCAGAGCGAAGAAGCGAAAATTATGTTGGAAAGAAGATCAGAAAGCTGGTAATAAAAGGAAAGAGAAAAAGAGGAAGACCAAAGATGCGTTGGAAAGATAAGGTAGAAGAAGACTTGAACCGGAGGGAACTTAAGAGAGAAGAAGCCCTTGATAGGGAGAAATGGAAAAAACGTATCAGAGAAGGAAACGCCGACCCCATATAAACATGGGAAAAGGCAAAGATAAAGAAGAAGTGCTTTTAAAATTTGGGGGACCAAAAAACAACTGTTAAAGGAAAAAAGAAAATGAGTTTTTAAAATTAAAACAGCCAAAGATCTAATATATTTTTAGAAATTGTATCAGATAAAACCAATAAAAGGCAGAATATGGTTTAAAAAATGTATAGTTCTCAGTAAATTTGTAAAAGAACTTGTAACCCGAAAAGCATCTGCTTTAAACTGAAGAGGAACATAAGTAACCGAAATGCGTATTTAATAAAATAGAAAAGTCAAGAAAGGATCTCTTGGTGTCCAATTGAAAACATTTCAAAAGGTGTAATAATTCCTCAGGCTAGAAGCCGATATTCAAGCTTAATCACCATTCACTTTAAAAAAACGAGCTACTATTTATTGTGACATGGCCACAATGTCGGGCTGCAATTTTTAATCATATTTTTAATTTATAATATATGCTCTCCACCTCAAATTAGTAGTGGCTTGCCCTCGTACAGTACTGCACTATACTGTACCAGTACATCATACTTTTCATTTAACAATAGAGTCGTGTTTGTTTGTTTAGTTTAGTTACGGCAACTCAACACTTCGGTGATCTTGGGCGATTCCTTCCGGAAGATCTTTTGAAGGGTAACTGACCCTTATTCGGGCATTACAGACGTGGAGAAAACTCGGAAACTCCCCATGGCCAGCCCGTCCTGGCCAGGCGCGAACACACGACCGAACTTCCCAGTGTTCACCGCTTGTCCACTGGTGAGCCGATAGAATCGTACCAATCATCTATTAACTGTTTTCAGGGGAAAAACTTTGAATTAAATAACGTGACTTCTGACTTGCATGGAAAGTCCGTATATAGTTAAAATGGCAAGCAGTCCCTTTACTGCAATGAATAAAAGAAAAAAGGGAATTTGATGAAATATGGCAATTTCCTCATTGCCTTGGTGCAGATCTTTTATTTACATACAGTAGAACCTCGATTATCCGGACTAATTGGGGATGAAGGTAGTCCGGGTAAGGAAAAATCCGGATAATCGAAANATACATTTTACATTAAAAAATTGTGTAAATCTTACTCCAAGGATTTTTTGTCAAGAAAGACGTCCCCTTTAATAAATTAAATATATATTTTTCACTTGCAATTTATAAATTGTAGACCTACATTCCTACTGCCAGGTGCCTGTTGTCTATTGTCTGAGTGTGTGCGCCTGTACTTCGTTAATCTCGAAAAGGGAATTAGTTAGATTAGAGATTAACGAACTACAGGCACACACACTCAGACAATAGACAACAGGCACCTGGCAGTAGGAATGTAGGTCTACAATTTATAAATTGCAAGTGAAAAATATATATTTAATTTATTAAAGGGGACGTCTTTCTTGACAAAAAATCCTTGGAGTAAGATTTACACAATTTTTTAATGTAAAATGTATAAAATACGGGAAACTTTCAGATCATTCTGACTTTTAAAATATAGACGATGGGTTGTAACAAAAGAGGCAAGCTCACTTTTGATAATGGCCAAAACCATATCGCATTCTTATGTATATTTTAAGAAATTATTAAGAAAAATACGAAATTTTCAAAGTTTCATTATAATTAAAAATATTTTGTCTGTTTGCTCTTTAAATGCCATTGAATGTCACGCAGCTGTTAACTACGTCACTTAATTGCGAAATTTTAATAAATATCGTCGACTTGCCAACGTTCGTTATATTTATTGAATTTATTAAACAGCAATTTGAAAAAATTCTAGACCCATAAATTTTCACCGTCGTCCGTATGTATTTGCTTACTCTCGAGAAAACAGTTAGGTGCGTGAAAGACGAGACACGATATGGGAAGATGAGGGGAAGAAGGCCACGTTTAACTATATACAAACATCCGCTTTGGACCAGGAGTCAAACGTTATTTTCAATTGAAAAAGTCCCCCCTAAAGGAGTTTGATAGATGACCGGCACGACTCTATTGCTAATGGAAAAGTGTGATGTACAGGGGCAAGACTCTACTAATTTCAGATACTTAAAAATATTGTAATATCTTATTTTCCTATCAGAAAATTAAGTATAAGGTCAACCGACTGCCGTGTATTATTCGCCTTTTACGATTGATAGAATCGCTTATACGATTTACAAGCGATTCTATGAATGGAATTATAGGATAAATGGGATGGGATGAACGAAAACGTGACACACGGCCACCCACGAAGGGAGACGACTCCCGGGAAGACATTGCAAGGGAAATTGGCACCTATCTAGGTACCAATTTCCCAAACATCGTGAACTAAAGTACTTTCAAAAGATATTCTATGGGGAAACTGGCCCCTTTTTATATAATTGCGACATGAAGAAATCCCGAAAAATTGCGCGTGTCTGATGGCCGGATCACGCATTCGTGCTAGTGGATCGCTCCGGCGGATCTTGAAACCGGACGAGTTGGACGATTCGGGTCTTCTCCGTCCGGATACGTCGGTCTCGTCTCTCGACATTCGGCCACCTCACTGCTGGCCTAGCACAACTCGCGATGGCGATTATTATTTTGAATAGATCCCGAAAAACCTTCGGACGTACAGTACAATGTCATAAAGAAAATTCTCGATAAGATTGTTTGAAAAAATAAAAAAATTTTCAAGATTTGAAGTGTCCAAAGGTGGTGAGTTGGTATTCGTGTTTGTTTTACGTAAAAATCTTGGAAACGGCTGGAATTATCATCGTACCAGATTAAAATTAATGCTGTAAAAAACTCTTTTTTCATGGCAGATCAACCATGTAATACGCTGGATAATCCCGTCAATACTTTTCCCTCCTCTCTGTGAATACCAAAAGCCCCATTTTCCTATATCCGTTGTGGGTTCGGCCAGGCTGACAATCGAGGCCATTAGCTGGCGAGCAAAAGGCAATGCAGTACGAAAAATAAACAAACTACATTTAATGATACATAACGTCAAGCCCCACGATGCCTGGCGTTATGTGTCAGTAAAGTTTCATACTTTATATATATATAAAGTATGAAACTTTATATATATATATATATCACCACTTGATGGAGAGAACCTGTTGTATGTTATAAGATGAATGGAATAAGGCAACTCAACACAAGAGGTATCTGTTAAGTGAAGAAGCTCCTCCCAGTAGGACTTCCTATAGGGAAATTTGCTGCTATTTTTCTGTTAGACACCCCAAAACTTTACGTGGTCAGCACGTTAGTAAAGCGCGAACCTACGGCTGATGTTGAATGGTTTCTCCATTCGTCCACTGGCGAAATCTCTGTATCTTATATTATAGCTTAAAGCCGCAACAATTGACGTCCAGCCCTGGGAACAGAGCTCGAAATATGTATTAATGTTCCGTATTTCTCTAAGAAAAGAAATTTTATACTTTGTTCAAGAAATAATTTTGTTGCAATTAAAGTTTTTAAAGAATTTTTGATGTTATAAACACGCATACGAAAAATTTTGACCAGTCTGCTTGTGAAGTCTTCTAGTTTATCATCAATACGGATAGAAATTATTTTCTCAGTAGACATATTTACAGCATGAAATCTGGTTAGTTACTGAAGTAAAATGTGTAAATGTAAATAAGCTTTCACACGATTGGATATTTTAACATTCCCACGCGACTTTAATCAACACAGCTGTCACTCAACCAATGAAATTATGTTTAATTGCATATTTTTCTTATATAAAAAAGTACGAATTGCGTGTTTTCAGTATTGTTTGGGTGAAAACCTTCAGGAAAACCACAATCAGAACTAACAAGCAAAGATGTACAAGTTCTTGTTTACTTTCGTCGTTATCGGTAAGTAACGTTTATAAAATATCTTTTGACGTACTTTATAATAATTTTATATAATCGATCATAATTTACATTTCCAATTATTTATTTTTTTCCCTGTTGTTTTATTCCTTGTAAAAAAACATTATTTATGATTAAACTCGATTAAAATTCTTGAAAGGAAAGCAAAACTATATCATTTATAAGTATTAATATCCATTGCTTTACATGAAATCACGAACCGGCGAAGCTTTCAGATTCGGAAAGATTCGCATTTTGGAGGATTTGAGGCCGTCACAGAGGGCTTCTAATGGAAATATTACAGATTATCATGCGAAAAAAACGTTTAGAGTTCTTTTCTATCTAAAATTTAATGCATAAAGCTCGAATTTAAACTCACTTATAAAATCTTCATCTTTTAAATAACACGAATGAAAAATAATACAGGAAAACCTGTGTAAAGCGGAACACGAAAATAAACACGTGGAATTGTAAATAAATATTTCACGTCATTAGGTGTATGACGAATTGCACTGTGACGTAGGCAATTTTTTTCCGCATCCAAATGTCACACAATTAGCGACGTATGTGAGTAAATAAATAGAATAGTGGATCGTCAACAAGCGGTGACTTTTAACCCCGTACGAACTAGAAACACGAGAAATGAATAAGTTGACGTTTATATTCATCATTATCGGTGAGTTTGATTGCTTTATATTATTTTATTTATTATTACGAAGCCGTTCTATTACCATAGTACAATAGTATGTGCTTTAGGATTCCATATATTACATGAGATTAGTTTATCAACGGCTAAGTAGGACGAGGACTACAATTGCACGTGTTGGGGATGGCAAGTTTATTATTAAACTACGAAACCATTTTTATGGTTAAACGCAATTTTAGTTTTAAGTTTACTTGTGTTAATTATTATACGAGTCACTTAGATTTTACAAATACGTTAGCCGTTCACAGTCCGGCAAACGTATTTGTAAAATCTAAGTGACTGGTTCAACATGGAATTCATATAAAACAGAATAATCAACAGTGTTTTGGGGGTCGACTGTAAATGCATACTTTTGTGAGGACCCGAACAGGGGTCGATTGAGAGGTCCGAATGATGAGTTTCGATCGAAAATAAAGCTCCTTTTCAGGCGCTAAGGAAACGGATTAGGTGTCTCGATTGAACAATGCAATTGTTTTTTTTCGTAAATTTGTTAAACAATGGAAACGGATAAATTCGAGGAAAACGCGACGAGAGAGAGGAATCATATTCATTCGCAACGTTGACCTCTCCCGCGCCCTTCATTAGGTTTCGAATTGTCACCAGGTGACTATGAGAAACCAATGGAGAGGCGACGACGGTTAAGAAATCTATAAAACCGTGCGACTCAAGGGACAAAGGTTCTTGGTTCTTGGTGCTCCTCTTTAGGATTTTTGTGATCCTACTTATCAACAGCGACCGATTCGTCAACTCCTGTGACTTACTGTCGCTCTCCCGTGACGTCTTGATTTGCACAGATTTGCCTTTCACCAGAGACTTTCGCCGAAGCTGTGCCGCACGCCCCGGGGCCGTCGATCTCAACGTACGACATCGAAGGACCAAACGGAGAAAGTCGGACCCTTGAAGGAACTTTTAATTTGCTCCCCGAGCTGTGTTACGTTGAAAATTTGAAGAACGTTGTAAGAATCT